AAAAACTCAGCCTATAGGATTTTACGACTGTGGCTTATGACGAATAATCAAGGTATATTTAGCAAATACCGCAGCTGGTTGTTAGAAGCACTTAAAAATTGTTTAACAAACTGTATTAATTATTAGGTACAGAAAAAATCAGTCTATATGATTTTTAGACTATGACTTACGACAAATAATCTCCTCGTGTGAGTCTTAGAATATTGAAAAAACCACGATGGACTCCTCCTGACATACTTCAAACGCTTTCAGCTGCAGGCCACCTGATTTGCAAATACCCTCTCCCGCAGGATGGACAGCTTTTTCCTTAAACTCCCACAAATGACATTCAAACCAAGAATAATGAACAATGCTCAATAGTTTTTTTTTACTGTCTGCCCTTCTTACGCAGTTCCATTACTGGCAACGCCACACGTTCTGCATCATAGCTGCTCTGTACCAAGAGGGAGTTCAAAGGTATTTACCTATATTTCCCTAATAAAACCTGACCTGACCTGAATTTAACTTTCCGAGGTATACCGATAATGACAGAGTGGACTGAGACTTCACTTCTGCATTTTTAAAACGTTGCCTCCGACTGTTGTGCATATTACGATGTGTACGGTTTAAAAGTAAGTCTAAACATGTGAGTCGGTATAGCCTCAAAGTCGAGTGTGTCCGGCTGGCTTCCCTGTCTGTCGCAGTAGACAGGGTATTCGAACACAGTACGAAGGGTGCAGACGAATATGATGAGTATCTCGGAGTAATTTCGATCTTCGATGGTGTACCTGTGACAGCGTTTCCTTGGTCTTTTCGTGACCTAGCGGACCGCTAGCTTTTTTGCGACTTTAACATATGCCGAGCATAAGAGGTCAAAAGACTCCATCGATTGGATTTTCATACTACTGAGGCCAAAAACTCATGCAGGGAACGTATGGAACGTAATTACGTCTAATCAAAACGAAATCAACTAACCGCATTCGTCAAGAGACACCTCAAGCTCGTTCTGTGAGTCCACCACCTCGTCATTTTCCTGTATATTCTTCAACGTCGCCTTGGCGTTCTTCTGTCGTTTGGCTTCGCTTTTAGTATCTTCTCTGCGAGCCCTGTTGACGCTGGTGGCCGAATGGGTGCCTGGTGGAGGTAGTTGTAACAGTCGTGAGGCAGCTAGCTTGAACATGTTTACCGTTTTGTTGAGCGCATGGGCTGAGTGTGTGAGTAGAAGATCAAGGAAGGTGAGTGTAAAGAGGGGCAGTTCTCCGGCGCGTTGAAAGAGCTGATCCAACTCCGTGATCGGTGGTTCCGTTGTGTTCGCTGACGTGCTGTTACTGCTCTTCTGGAATGTGCAGAGACAGGGGGGTAAGATCGTTAAACAGGAGCGCTGACTAGCGACGCAAAGCAAGGGTTCTAAGGAGAATTACCTGCGAACTATCGGATTGGGTTGATTCCTGTGGTCTATCTGACGGTGCGAGTTCCACCTTCTGGCAGGCAAGAAAATCCATAAAGAGGAGTGTAGTTAGGAGCATGCGCAAAAGGATCGGCGCCATCAGAGGAGTGCTGGCTGTCTTCTGGCGAGCAAACATCTCAGGATCAGGGCAGAAGTCGGGAAGGCAGGTGAGGCCACCGGCACATCTGGGTAGCATGTGTGCGACGCATTTGGCGCCGTAACGCTTCGTTTCGGAACGCAGAAGGAAGCTAGTATCGTCGAGAATCTGCTGCAGAAGAGTTGCTGAACCGGCCTCCAATCGATTGGATTCAGATCTGTAAGCAGACGAGCGAGAAGAGTACAAACAAGGCAAAAAACTCCAACAACAACTTTGACAGACGCGGATATTGCGAAAAGATTCGATTTTACAGTACGCAGAAGCGAAGCTGATTGCGTTTACCTTCAGTACCCTGTGGCCGACTGTCAAAGCAGACAAAGACAACCGGCACAATACGTGCACTAACTCTTCAAACGCAGGTCTTGATGTGACTGTGGATGCATCATCGGCACACACAACCCTACCATTCCACGGAAAATCAGCACCAGCCATTCTCTAGTTAAGAATTTGACCAGTAAAATTCCCAAAAGGTAAGAGATTTCCGGGGCGAAACGAAGTTTTACGATATATCTCTACGGGTGGTCAGTCATCTATCGCATTTAATTTTGCTAGCTTTTTGTCCGAGCAAAGGTCCTGTGAGGGAGGTAAGATGATATTATGCAGCAATTAGCAATGCGCTGGTCAGGCAAACATACTGACGATAGAATTTTTGTTTTTATCTTACCCACAGCGTTCTGTGGGGTCATAGCCCCTCCTCACCTAATTATTCCGTTTCATTTCATTATTTTAAGGAGGTTTAGCAGATTTCCTTAATTTGAGTTAACCCAATTTTGAAAACACTCGAGGCTTTCGGCGGGATTTGAACCCGCGTATTAGAGGAGGCCTTTACGAGAAACCAACGCTCTAACCGCTAAGCTACAAACGCCCTACCTCCCGCCATGAATTTAATCACACTTGGGTCGATATTACCCACCCAA